GTATGCATTCAAGCTATCTATCATCGATGTAGTACACTGGCTTCAACATATATATCACGGTAAAAGCTTAAAATTGGCGAATATGCAACTCTATTACCCAAGGACCATTCATGAAATATTTATTCTCCCTAAATGTCATACATGATCTCATTTTTATATTACGCGAACCTTAACTATGCTCTAGGTGAGGTATTTCCTTTTGTTCGACCAACACGAAGTTCTATTTAAGGATTATTCTAGGCAACAATATCATACGGCTTTACTTAGCTACGTATGCAATTTATAGTTCATAACTGTATAAGTGGAAATCTCGGATTTGAAATTGAATATCATTTTATACTATCGAAGCTCCGTTAATATGGGCATAGTACTATGAACAGCATTAAAGCTTATTTTCCCCGATACTACAGCAAAAAAAAAAAATTAACTAATTGATAAACGATTATATTAGTGAAAGAATTCTTCGTAATCTCCTACTTATTCTGTATCCTAATAATATGAAATGCCCAAGTAGGAATCCTGAGCTAGTATTAATGAATAGCAGAAATTTAAGATCATTACAAATATAATTTATAACTTACTACAGGAAGAGATCTGTTCTTGGTGCATTAGCTATTATTATAAGTGCCGGTGCAATATAGGATTACGTCTTATCCTTTCTACAACATATTTCGTCTTGCTGCAATTAAGTTCAATTGAAGTTATATTCGTAGCAGATTTGAAAGACAAACCGTAAATACTAAAAGCCCATCTACAGCACAATCATCACTGTATTCGGTCCTGATATAGATAATAGTTATGATCGAACACACACCATCTTAATTGATCTTGAAAAACTTTGTGTATATTTTCTCGTTCATACAACCTGCAATATTACTATAACTATTTAATCCAGCTGCGACAAAGTAGTGACAATATACGGCTTTCTTTACACCTAACGTTCAAATCCATCATCGGTTATTTATCATTCAGTCATGTACTCTTAATGCCTTCAACACCAAAGAGGAACTAAGTGATCATTTGTTTTTACTGGTAAAATTTCAATAAACAACCTTTCTATGTGATTGAAATTGCAATTAGTTTGCAACATAAATTTAAGTTATCAGTGGAAAAATCCCTCCATAGCTCAATGTTGTAATACAACGACTTTCTTCTATTTCTTTTATAGAGGGTAGAAGTTATAAATTTTCTAATGAGAGTTTTTCACGTTATATAGCACTACCAAATTATTTAGCATTTCACTCGACATAGGCTAATCAATTAGCTTATGCGAGTAGTATCTGTCGCGTGGTATCTCTTATTCTTATCTGTAAGATGTATCTTTTATGTTATTATACCCTAATTTGAAAATCGCATTAAGTACCATGAAGTTCAAATCTTCATTACGACTTATTCCACTGTCACTTAAATTGAGTTGGAATTTCTTCATAGCGAAACTAAAATTGGAGAGCAACAACTCTTCATTTCTATCCGCTAATAAGTAGATATATAGATACTCTACATTTGTGTCTTCTGCATAGAAGTCTAGAAATAAATCATGTTAGTAATATATTGTACTGTCGATTGGAATTACGCCTTTTAATAGAAGCTATGATTAATTGCAGCTGGAGACATTAATTTCAATGAAGATTTAGTGCCAAGATGTAAGCTATATCGGTTTACATTGAAAATAAGTTAGTAATTATTAGTACTAGTATTTCATTAAATACTTGGGGAGGTAAAAAGTCTATTGAACTGACGGTTTGGAAGAAAAGGATAACAATACAGGTTTAGTTACTTTGCATTACCAGAGTAAGATTAAATAGATGCCCAATTAAAGTTATTTTTCTAAACGCAGATATAAATCATATACGAGTCATTATTTGGATTATGTCTTATCCTAGATTAAATACAAGGCCGTCCTAATTATAGTTGACAGGCATTAGCTTGATTTGACCTTTATGAAATTTTGACATATATTTTCCCAGTCACATTGGAAGTACTATAGATACACGTCGGATTTAGAGTCTGTGGAGTCTTTTGGATACGAAATTAAACAAGTTTTGCAATAACTTTATCCTATCCAATTTGATTACTCTTCTGCTTATCCAGTTTTGACATTTTTCTAATTTTAGCTTATCATGATTTAATAGAGTGCTGTCAATAACTATCTACGGTAGAGAATAAAACACCATTTTTTTAATCATATACTCTTTAATGTTATAAAAATTACTGTAATATTAAAACTAAAATAAGTATCCGTTATATAATGTACAGATATATACCATTGGTTGTACCTTCTATTACACTCGAAATGTATCCCCACAAATAAGTGTCTATCTATAGTTAATTTTTGCTTCACGTTATACGGCGATCATGACAATTTTGTCGTGAAAAAAATTGGTGCTTATATCTGAGAATAGCATTAAAATAGAAATAGGCAAAGCAACGGTACGAAATTCAGCTAACAGTCTCTCATCTGTTTTCACACAGATGGTAAGGTAAACAAATTCTGTCGATTAAGCAACTCTATCACGCTGAATGTTGTAGTACATATTTAAAATACAATGATGATGATGAGGTCAATTCTTTTCTTTCAACATTTGTAATAAATAACGTAATATCCTAAGACATAATTGATACGGAATATCAAATAGCGAAAAGAGAACTTTGACCGAAAGGGAATATTTATTATTGATCAACTTGATCGTAAATGATTTATAAGACTAATTTATTTTTAGAATCTGCAAGCAATTAAATAATTTTAACTCGATACGATTCTTATAACTATCCCGGATATTATTGCCATTTGACTGCTACCGATTGCTAAATTATTAATAACGATAGACCGCTGTATATTATAGAGTAAGAGTTTCATACTGTAATTGATGATATGGAAATAGAGTCCTGTCTTTTAAGCCATCATTTCATTCTGTACACATACAATAATTAAAATATGATTATAATTAATTCAACTTTAAGGGAAAAGGAGTATTTCCAACATTATAGGATGATGATAAACATCAAGAGTTTTTATTTAAATTTATTGTAAGTTTTTTTATGTTTTAATTTCCATACCTCAAGGTCGATTGCTACGGTCTGATTCTTACTATGCATGTGTAGCGTTTAGCCTTTTGCTTTTATGATAAAAATTTCCACAAAGTTTAAATAGTAACCGTTAGTAGACCAATTTTTGATTCTAATGGTCTTGTCAACTGGACTATTCAATCGTGATAACTATCTATCACTACGTTACCCACATGGATCCTCCCCTTTTCAATCTGCCTTGATTTAATAGATATTACCAGAAAAATTGTTCTAATTAGAAACGTCAGAATCTAGCTAAGAATATATGATATATATATACGCATATGTATTGAATAGAAATTGGATAACAATCATTTTCTATTGGTTGTTAATGACAGCAAAGGAAAGAAAGCCTTTTACCTTCAAACATAAATGCTATCAATAACATGGCGAGTGTATCGATTTAGTATTACCGCTTGGTAGGATGGAAAATATTGTATTAATTTTATTTTTAAGCTGCTAGCCAATACGTTGGAATGGCAGTTTATTAAATGAATTATCATTTTGCAATATTTTTTCCTGGTAAGGGAATCATCACTTCGGCTACGTACCCACCCCCTCCCCTCTATTCCAGGTATACGCGTACAGTGTTATCGCTGATTTTCTATTTTAAAAGCATCAACAGGATACAAGATCATAATTAATCAATACGCATAAGTAGGCATTGTCGTTATTGAAAATCCTTTATATTGCTCATCTTTGACGTCAAGTATGAAAGGAGAAGAAAATTATGTTGACAAAGTGACAACATAATCTATTTGTAAAATTATAATTAGAGTCCAGTTTTGTTTAGAACGATCCTATCCATTTCTCTTTACTATAGAGACCATTTAGCGACGTAGTATTTATTTAAATCAATAATTATAATCAATCAAACATACAATGAGAATTTTGGGCAACCAAATTATGAGCATAGAAGTTGATGAATTTAAAATATTCCATTTCATCGGGTGTTAATACTACACAATCTCGGGTATACCTTGTCATTGTTATATTAAGAATATGTGTATTTGATATTGTAGAAAGGGGATAAAGTAAAGTAACCGGGATAGTTTTGTCTCGATTTAAGGTTTCACTATTCAAGTACTTAGGAGAAGACACTATAAGCTAGTATTTAATATGGCGTCCAAATAAATATTCAATAAAATAGTCGGAGTCAACCCTGAAGATCTATTACATTGGCAGTTTAAGAATTGATTGATGCTTTAAGGATCGATTTGATTTGAACTATGATGTCTACTTTAAAGGGTCTACTACTGGCTATTTTCTATGCTACCATCGTGCACAATTTAGGTCAGGTTGTATATATATATCCTTCAATGCAGTCAGTGGTAAAGACGTAAAGTACCATCACACGATAGTCAGGCTATATCGAATTCTTCCAACTCTTATGATTCTTTGCTATTTGGCAAGACTGTTACTATGAATAAAATAATTTGTTTTGAATGTTGATTTCATTCTCAGTCCTATGAAACCTTCTTACTTGTAAAATGTTCGACGCTTCAAGACGAATTTTATCATTGATTTGATTGTAATTTTGGATTTTTTTTTTTTTCCATCTTTTATTTGTGTATGTCAAGTGGATCCTCGTGGTGTTTGTCTACCAGTTAATGCTGCAAGGAGAAGTTATGGTAGGTTCAACTATAGTATTGTCGTATTTCATAGCTGTCCTATTACTGTAAAAGCTTTTGGCATGTTTCTATCCCCTTCCTGTCGCCATATTGTTGGAGTCAATATGTGAATGGGAGATAGACATATAATACTGTTGTCATTGATATTGCCTTGTGGCATAAAGTGTGGAGAAAAACGTGCTCCATTTCAAGTTACTATTTTTCTGAATATTATTATTGATGTATAAAGTAATTCATTGCTTGCTATTGAAATTTCTATTTATAATTGATTCCATTGAAGTGGAAGAATTAATTAGACCCGAGATGAATAACCGTGGTAGTTATGAAGTGTACTTCAGAAATCCAGAATTATATGATTCACAATTAGCTATACGTACATCTTACCAGGATTTGCTTTGGAAATGGTACTTAGCTCAACGTCTTAAGCAGCAAGGCTGGCAAGAATATGAGAATATCAATTACCAGGGAGACACTATTAACCCAATGGATGGTCAAGATAGCAATCATAAACAATCATCACACTATTTATCCCAAAAGCCAAATTACAATTACGAATTTATACCTGAAACTGTCGATTCATCCAATCATCCAGATGATATGGATAACGATGAGAATAACAATTCTAAAATGCCATCTCCTGCTAACACCGATCAAGAGAATCAACCAGGATATGGGCAACCAACCGATCATCCAACTTCTAATCCTACCTCGGCAGCCATACAAACTCAAACGCCATCCACTCGGTCTTCTCCGACAGCCACTTCCAGCGTCACCATGGTTCCCAAATCATCATCAGCCAGTCATCCATTTCATTCAGGTAACGACAGATGACCTGACATTGACGCCTGACCTGCTCGTCATCACGATAGCGTTTGTAGTGTGATGATATTTTAATGTTGACACGTAGCAGACAAACACGTCATCCAGCTTCAAGTGAATGACGAGTGGATCAGCTTGGATGTTGGAAGTGATCCTGCTGCCACTCAGTCTCGTTTTCTATCTCCATAAAGTCATTCCCTTCATTCAATGGAGTAGAAATAACACACATATTAAACATAATGAACAGTAGGCAGTTATTCAATGGATGCTGTCGTATGCCATAGTACAAATAATTCAAAAATCAGCGTCCAAATTATTCAGTCAATTGACTTTTGGGCAATTTTGGTGGGAAAAGTGCTACCGCAGTTCTTATCACTGTTATCAGTAATTTGTGTTGTTTTCCATGGTTTGACACCAACTTGAGAGACTTCATACGATTAGGTATTGTACTGGTACTGTGTTGTACTGGTATGGTATTGTACTGGTACTGTGTTGTACTGTTACTGTATTGTACGGTACCGTATCGTACTGGTACTGTATCGTACTGGTACTGTATCGTACTAGTACTCCGGTAAATTACCAATCACTTCGTCTTGCTCCTTCTCATCATTCCCTTTGAAATTTTATGTAGTAGCAAGGTAGAATCCATTAATTATAGCATGCGATGGTGTTCTATTACTGCAGATAGAAAGGGTTGAACACAAGTTTTTTGGTTTTCACTTAGCTCCAATTCGATCAGCTTAGGACATTCATGGTCAACGGTAGTCGGATCATGAACTCATCACTTTCATTATGGTATACTATCCTGTAGTAAATGCACGGTGAAAAATTTCTTTGAGCCGTGATTGAAAGCTCGATGGAAACAACCACGACGATACTACATAGACACTGTACTGTAAATTAGCCTGCAATGGTCGGAAAATTTTTGAAATATTTCCATATCATACTATTAGGATACAGTATTATCATGATATTACCCATACCACTCATCTAGAATGGCTAATATAAACTGGTTTCATTGAAAAATCATTTTAGGCATATGTACCGGTAGCCACTGGAATGTCTCTAAAAATAATGTACAGTATTTCAAAAACGGGCCGATAGTCGGCACAGCTTGAATCGACAGAAACGTAAAGAATGTTCGCTATACAATATGCGTTGATTCGATTCCAGTAGTCATCGTGATCTCATGTAGTCCGCTTTAAATGCGTCTTATCATCATCAATTTCAATTAGGATAACTTATTGAACTTACAACACGTTAATTGCAGAGCTTGATGCAACACTCGACTTAATTTTGAATTATAAGGCAGTAGAATGAAACTTGAGTCCTATCACTTACGTGAGCGATAATCAAACCTCACTCATGGCAAATGCCAATAATAATCAATTAAGGTAGGTTAAAGTGTAAAAGTCAGCAATAGTTTTTGAGCACATGGATCAACGCCAATGGGGATAGGTGTTCAGTTCTAGTCGAAGCGAGCACAATAAGTAAAGGATCATCACTCTATAACTCTATAAACAATTTTCAATTTTATTTCGTAAAAAATACTCTTATTTTACAATGCCAATATCAAGGTTGATCGGATTGATCATGCAGTATATTGGCGATAGAAAACATCATTTCCAATTTTACTACAAATGGAATAATGAGAGATGTTATCGGTTGGTCAGCAGTAGAGCGAGAGCATTTTAAAATACTGCAAGGAATATAGCAAGTAGACGCATTACTATAGAATAATCATTCCATGCTGTTGCTTAGTCAAAAGTAGAACGAGAGGAATTCAAATATACAAGGAATGCAAGTAGACACATAGGAAAGGTGCTAACATGAACTAGGACAGTTATATCATTAAAACTCATCCTGAACGGCAAGTAGTTGTCAAAAGAATTGACCATTCTACTATACTCTATTCTCCAATAAATGAACGATAATAATCTTGAATCTTCAAATAGACAGTTGCTTACAAGGGCTTCAATGAAATGACAGAATCCAGTCAACTTAAACAACTTCATATACATACTACAGCACACAAATCATATTAATTTCCAATTCTGATTGCAGAATATAGTAGTACACTAAGCGTAAAACCTATCAAATTCCATCACTAGTTTCTTATGCTTGTTGAATACTTAATAAACACCTTAGTTCTATATTTTTACTTTATTCATTATCACCATTATCCTACAGTAACATCAAATGATGTCGTTACAATCAAGATTAAAAGCGAAATCAATCCCAAAGTAATTGAAAATAATATTGTCTCACTCGAAAATTATTTACACCTGCGCCATGGTACATTCTCCAATGTAACGTAAGTTTTGAAACCTACAAAAAAATAAAAAATGTACATCAGGCATACCGTAAAGTATCCCAATCAAATTATAAAGTCACATTACACTCGTTGATGTTGAATGAACTAGAAAATAAATTGCTAACAACTTAATGATTGCTTTTCAAGGATCAATGGCAATAATCTATCTTTCACAGTTAATCCAAATATAAGAAACGTGACAGCTACCATCGTGTTAGATGCTATTTGTAAGTCTTTCCATTAACTGTATCTTTGTAATCAAAAGTAACTCTGCATGTTGATTGTCACTTTTGAACACGAAAATAGTTCATCCTTTATCACTGTAATATGCATTACATTATTATAGCAATAGCCAAATATGTATGTGTAAATTAGTTATAAACGAGTAGTATCAAACAAGTGTTGTCAATTACATCATTAAAAATACCATAATATAGTAATAAATTCATTCATTCATTTATGATGCACCCATATAACATCAATTGATTAACTTAGATCATGGAAATTCTCCATTTAAAGCCATAATGGAACATTCGACAGAAACGCCGGTAATTCTACCCTGATTTAATTTAATATGATACATCAGTTGAAATTTGTTTGTATACCTAGGAAGAGGAGTAGTAGAAAAACTATGCTGATATATCGGATTAATGCGTTTCTAGATTGATGATGAAGACAACGATGAATTGCATATAACGCTTTTGATATGGATCATGGTTGCTGTATTGGTTATTACAGCTCTAGTTAGCTTATTTGTATTCGTATTTAAGAAAGGGTAAGTTGCTGTACTTGATGTAAATTTGAAGCACTGCATCGAACGCGTCGAAGAAATCACTTAATCAATACTATCGCACTTTATCAATCTCTTTACTTTAAAATGGGATTGTTCATAATAAACGTCCATGTCTATGATAGTAAACCTGATAATAAAGAAGATATGGTTGGATTGCTTGCATCTGAATCTGATATCACAGATTACGAAGTAAGGGCTCAATGAATTATGTAAAATGGCATTTATACTGTATTATCTGTCATTTTGTATTCACTTGGATTAATTTGCTTTATTTGCATTAAAGTTCCTTTAAATACATCTCTCAATTAGGATTTATGTCGCCAACATGTAGCATCAAAGAAATCTGAAATGGTTGATGGTGCATCTGGTAAAATTATTACTATTGGTGATGCTGAGCAAGTAACAGAAGGCCTAGATTCTGTTGCTACTAGCTGGTATGTGAAAATTGACAGCTAAGTTTTGAATAGCTGCATACTACATACCTATACCTTCATCAATAATACTTGTTGATATTTTATAGGAGCCATGAACCAGTTACGGCAGATATGGATATATCAACTTGCCACGTTGTTTTAGTAAGTAAACAAATATCATTAATGCTTGTTTATTTATTATATGAAACTATAGCCTATGAATATGGTATTAAGTAATGGAAAGTGATTCTGTATGTGAATAAAGTTATTCGTATTCTATTGTAGTCCTACATGGAAGATCATTTGAAAAATAAAGACCGCCTCATGAAAGAATGGGAGGTTTGTTATGACATTTGATTAGAGGCTTGTAATATTTCAAGTAATATTATAGTTATCAATGTGGATTTTAGTTTTTATGAAGGGATATATGAAGATATAAACTAGTATAATACATATTTAAGAATATGGTATATTTGAATACATTTGAATATTTATAACTTGAACTATGATTCAGGCTTTGCTAAGGTACAAAGTTGATCGCAGTAGTGGTTTGGTTGCTTCAAGAGCCGTTAATATTCGATTAAACAGATACAGCGATACCTTTCCATGTAAGTTCACGAATGATATTGGCGCCATATCATTCGAAATTATATTCAGCCTCTATCTACATTAAGTATTCATCTACTTTCCGCAGATGATCATAATCGCGTCGTTCTAACTACCAGTCCAACCAATGATAACGACTACATTAATGCAAGCTACATTGTAAGCAATCATTGTCACAAAATATCACGTTCTTGATTTTGTAAGTACGAATGTACGATGGCGTAGTAACTGCTGATAATATTTATTGAATAATATATTTCAATTAGTACGATCATAATCCAAGAAACCCAATGTACATAGCAACACAAGGGCCAATTCCAAATACTAAGGCTCACTTTTGGCAGGTTATTGAAAATAATTTTTGACGAATCAAAACTTAACTTGGCTTGAAAGAAAAAAATTAAGTAAAATTATTAGCACTTACTGAGAATTTGTAACCGTTACGTATTACTATAGATGGTTTGGGAGCAAAAAATTGCCACTGTTGTGATGTTAGCCCGATTAAAAGAAAATGATGTGGTAAATTAACGTAATTGATACCAAAAAAATGAAATCTTTATTTAACTGATACCAAATGATAGAGATTTCCCCTAGTTATTATTGGTTTTATCACATAATTTATATATTTTTATTCGTCCTTTATTAGGCTGTTTGCGCTCTATATTGGCCAGAAAAGAAAGGAAAGGAGTGTTACGGTGACTTTGAGGTATATTAGCATAGGGTATATCCAAAAAAGTAAAATCTGTATCTAAATCTTGGAATTTACTCTCGTTAAGGTTACTCTGGTTTCGGAGCATAATTGGTGTGATGATTATGTTGTTAGAAACTTCTATTTAAGAAATATAAAGGTAAGTAAAGCAATATTCATGTTATATTTTATGTTATGGATATAATAAAGTGCGTTAAAGACAATGTACACGTTGTAGTATTCAGTAAAGAACATCTAACTAAAACTATTAAAAATTATGATACTTTCCTGTTTTACCCAATTAATAGAATCAAGAAACGCGTACAGTAACACAATTTCAGTATCTTTCGTGGCCTGATATGGGAATTCCTAAAGATACAAAAAATTTTTTAGAATTCCGCAGGTAAATTCTTGGTAACTTCTGTTTTATTCAATTATTTACTAGATATATCTGCAGTACATACTTTATTATTTTACCTAATATAAATAATGTTTGTCTACTGCTAAGTGCTTCTTACGCTTTATTTTAACTACTGATAATTATTCTACACAGGAAAATAAACAGATCGTACCATGGTCAAGGTTGTCCAGTTATTATTCATTGCAAGTAAGTTATTTAGAATGTAGTCACTCTTAATGTTGGAGATATTACTTTTGTAGTAACCAAAATAAACTAACATAAAAAATGGATTTTTCAACTTTGCAATGGATTGATTCTGTAGCGACGGAGCTGGGCGTGCTGGAACTTATATTCTAATTGATATGACATTAAAAAGATTATCTAAAGGTAGCTACGATCAAAACTAACTGCAAGCTATAACCTATTTCTATTATACAGATTTGTAATTAATGGATTTTATTAACGATGAGTGTGATTTAACATCTTTCTTAGGAACTAAAGAGATTGATATTGCAGCCACTATCGAACATCTAAGAGATCAGCGTATTTCAATGGTAAAAACCAAGGTCAGACTACATCTTCATATAACCTCGAAAATGTATCATGATGTTTGTTCAATCAAATTCTAGTACTGTATTTAAACTATTGTTGCCCTTAAATGCACTACGCTAATAATTACTTTTATTGGATATAAATATACAATAGGTCCAGTTTGAATTTGCGCTATCATCGATTGCAGAAGAAGTCAATGATATTCTTAATGCCTTGAAGTAATGTGGCCCAATTATTCTATCATGATTTAACTGTAACTTGGGTCGTGTTCCATATAGTTATAGTTGTATTCATAACTGATTGCGGAGTACTACACTTGAGATTTGTATCGAAAAGTTCAGTATCTATGCCTATTAGTAATATATAAATCATAAAATTATTAATGCACTTTTATTAGCGAAACAAATTCAATGAATAGATTACAATTTTGATAACAAGTATAAAATGAGCCTTGTTATCGTGTATTTTAAAAATTATTACCGCAATTAATAACCCTTCATTCGTTGCTCCTATCAAGTTAATTATTCATTAATTATCAATACCATTATAGAATTCAAATCCATGTTAGCATTACTTAGATGTGTCGTTCAGACAGAATCATCTAAATTTTTCGTCAATATAAGGTTAACCTCATTGGTTAAAATATATTCGAATTTGTTTAATCTATGTTACTGTAGCTACTTTTACACGAAAATGTAGCTATTATCATGAAATTTGCTCTAATGCGATATGATAAATAGTACGAGGCAAAATCTTATTCATGCTATTATATAGAATTATGTTAGCTCGCTATCTATCCTGCTGATTAAAAATTCAAATCTATTCTGAAATGATATCTAAATAGATTAATATAGCGAAATATTATTTATTAGAATCGTAATTGTTACCGAAAATTAGGAACAAACATGACTACTGCCGTAGTTGCTAGTTTACTATTACTGAATGTTATTAACGTAACATAACTTAGCTATTCTATAAAAAATGTCCTTAAAAATATAAATAATAACAATGAATGAGACTATAGAGGGTATAGTTGTAAGAAATAAAAAATCTGCAACTGCGTGCAAAGCTAATGCTCTTGTCTAAATTTGTCGTTTCAAAATTTCTTAAGCACGATTATTCACCAGTGGTTTGACCGGAAGTTTCTAAAAATGATTACTTATAAATTGCAGTATTGGTCATTTTTACATGAAAGTTGAAGTTAAATAATCACCGTACAATTGGCGCTTGGCGATCAAGAGACCTACTAGTTCCAGATATAAGTTACTAAAGCGTGCAATACAGTATTCGGTAGGAGTCTAACTTTATCCGTATTCATATTTCTACAGTAGATCTCGTAATCGTTGCTCACCCACCCTTTTGAGTAAAACACTAATGCTACGCGAATTGCCAGTCAGTCAAGTGTCAATTTCAGATATTTCATTATAATCAATATTCCTGGAGGATTTTAAGTTGTGGTGATTTCAGCAACAGTAGTAATGTGTTCTATCGGGCTCAAGTCCCTTCAAATTTTCGGAGTTAGCGAGTTGCAACCTTAAGAGTGAAAACTAAAACCCATTGCCTATCAATGTCAACCCTTGACGCAATGTCGATTTCAGCTATTACTCAATTGCATGTTCCCTTTTTCATGATTGATTTTAAACTATAAAATGTTTCATTCATTTAAACTTGCAAGTTGCAGCCATCTCTGATCGCGACCGCCGTCCATTGGACTGGTTCAGGGCACACTTCACAGTGTACAGTATACAGTACTGTAGCTCAATGTACAGTACACTGTACTGTAAGTCACAGTACTGTACCAGCCGCAGCCCAGCACGCTGACGGCCAGATCTCAGCTCTGCTGTCTTGGAGATTTCAGCACCAGGTGAACGATTTTTTGAGAAGAATTTTTGTCCAATTGATCCAATTTTCAAGGAATGGAATTGGAAAATGATAAAACTTCTAGCAAGCAGCTGCAGATCCGACTTGTAGCTTTAAACAAACGGTATGCGAACTACGTATCATAGGTAACAATATCCAATAAAATTCCTCTATCTAGCTGTGAAACATCATGATGCTTTTCGTCATCAGCTCAGCACCTTGTAGTACTACTGTATAGTGTAGTATGCTTCATTGCAATTCAGGATACATACTGTTTTACGTTATATCTTAGAAGAATAGTCGGTAGTTGTTGGCCAAACTATCTAGTATCTTGCAAGTCTACCATCAAATCATAGCTATGTATTATGTTGTTTTAGCTTTGATACATCAGGGAATCTATTATCTCTACCAAGCCGGTTTGGATGCGACGAACTGAGTGAAACGGTCCACACCTTGTTATCTGCAAGTAAGTTTATACTAGCAGTTCCTTCATGATTCATTTATTGACAGTGAAGTAAATAACTTACTATTCAATAGTATAACTCATATTGTAGTTGTAGTAAAGGCTGCATACTCATGCTGTAATAGCATTAGTAACTATTATTTAAAATTACAATTCGTTCTCGTATCAATACGGTCCTAAATTCGTTGGATATAAGTAATGTGCATTTGGAATAAACTATAGACTATTCCATCAGTGGTAAACTAACGGTATACATTTCTAATTTTTCTTATCAGATGACATCGAGATACCTGCAAGTGTTCAATTTGATTTTGCAATCAATAATGATCTATTAAGAGATTCACTCGAAGGATATGTTACATCTAAGAATCTATCCACGGTGAATTGATACAGTAGTCAAAATTATGATAAAACTTTATTCATAAATGGTCATTAATTTAACGGTAATTGTATATACATGTAACCGGATGCAAATGAAATGTAGCATTAGTGCTACGTAAGCAAGAGAGTATTAATCACTGCTAATCTGAATGCAATGCAGTTTGTGCATATTGCTATAAATGGATTAATCTATGAGTGGGCCAAATCGTGCCAGAAATTTATTCTTCTTTTAACATGTTGTAAATATGACCCATAGGAAAGTGTTATTGAAGTTGTCTACTTTCAAAAAGAACCTCCGCCAGATTTTTTAAATACTATCCTCCATAGCGACTGGATTAAAAGCGTCAGAAGTAAAGATGATTGGTAAGTCTGCGATAATTTTAAATAAAACTTTTTTCTACACAAAAGAAATGGAACAGTTTGTCGTATGGCAACAATTGCTGACTACGAGGAATTTTTATTTGATCTTAAAGTTGTAGACGATAAAAACGGATAAATTTTCTTAGGAATAGTATAAACAATTATGATACATCCGCTGTCAATTGTTATTGTTTCTATTAGCAAAATTATTGTAATGCAGAAAAATTTCTTAAACTTATAAGTATATGGTCATAATGCTTAACAAAGGTCACTTCTTAATTTTAAATAACATTGCTTTATAATCAGTATTCTAGCTGGCTCCCTAGATGGTACAGCTAGAATTTGGAATATGGCAGGTACCAAACTGACCTTATAATTATATACTGTATTAGTAAAGGGTCTCTACCTCATAAACTTTCATATCAAGCCCAGTCTGCCTCTAAAAATTGTCCGCATCTTTGATATAATCACATTTTTGTACGATATATTATAAAGGTGAAGAATATGCTATATTTAAAGGCCATGAATCTTATGTTAATGGTGTTGAATGGATCTCTAAAGGTAGCAAAACCTATCTCTCAATTATCTTATTCTCTACCGGAAATGTATCATTTGTTGCTTTGGATTTACCCTAAGGTTTGTTATTTAGATAATAATCATGCCACCATAGTGACGGCTTCGCAAGATGGCACCCTACGTTTATGGGAGGTATGAGAACTCACGATGTGCTAGAAATTATGATCAGTATTTTGTTGCTTTAAATTATTATCTACACTAAAATGATAAAATTGTTATCACCATTTAGTGGGCAATAGGAACTAAATCCGTGGAGTGTTTGTGTGAATGCAAAGGTCATACACAAGCTGTCAATGCGGTTACTGTTAATCAATCGAAAACAAAGGTTTGCAAATCAATGTTTTCTCATTTCGAAAGTTAACCGATGGTAAATGGTAGTAATGTTCTATATTTATTCAGATATGTAGCGTATCTTCAGATAAAATGATCAAAATTTGGTCAACAGGTTGGTACAGCAATGTGTAGTGAATTTATTTTATCCTGATATCTGAGAAGACTGTAATGCTATCGTTGTATTTTAAATTTGAAGATTGTTCCCGGAAAGATGACGACACAACACACCCAATACATAAAAAGATGAAAACAAATCAAGGTCTACAGAAAGCTGTCGATAAGGTACATGACATCGTATAATTTATCATGTCTCTTAAATTTTATTTGTTTTAAATCACTATACTGATGATTTATTTTAATTGAAGCTCCCCGACATCACTCTTTCGGGGCATACTGATGGTATTGATGCTGTAGTTTGGCCGAAAGAAGCTGAAATTATTACTGCTGGATGGGATCATCGAATCAAAATATGGGATACTGAAGTCGGCGTCAACAAATCCGATATTAATGTAAATAAAGTAGTTAAAGGTATTACATGTTCACCATTTCAGGACCTCATAGCTGCCGGAAGCTTCGACGAAGGAATAATTAGACTATATGATCCTCGAGTAGTTGGTAAATATCTGATTTGAAGCTTACATTAAATAATTATGGTACCTCAAGGTCTGTTGACACTATTTAATAGATCAAACGGTCCTGAAGCTGACTTTAAAGTCCCATAAAAATATCGTTAGTTCACTTTGTTGGTCGACAACTGATGAACAACAGTTGGTATCTGGATCTTTTGATAACACTGTTAAGCTTTGGGACATTAGATGGTACTGTAATTACCGTATCGAACGATAATGGACGCTATAGCAAGAATTTTGTAGTTACTAAAATAATATATTTTGTTTGTTACTTATTAGCAACCTAGCTCCGTTATATTCAATAGAGGGCCATGAAGACAAAGTACTTGCAGTCGATTGGTCAGAGCCACAGGTTACAAAAGACTTATTTAATACACCTACTTACAATCAATGCCACACAAGATTGCAGTTAACCTTTTGGCAAATGTCTATACTAGATATAAAATTAATTAATTGTGCATAATCTTTATTTCTCTTAGTAATCACTTTTTTGTTCATTTTTAGTATATCGTTAGTGGAGGAGCTGACAACAGAATACAGATTTATCAAAGAGAAGTTGCACAGAGATCGTAATACTGTAATATCGTAATAAAATATTTTTAATTAATTACAAGGACTATTCATGTGCTGTGTTGGATTGTCTCGTTCTCATTTCCTCCAATATATATATACGTGTATGTATATGCATGATATAAATTAGTGACACTATGCAGCGTATTTAAATGTAAATGGTGATTGAATTTAGAACGCTACTTATTATTAGGCATAAAAGTTGATCGCTTTTAATAGTAATATGAATTTTATCTAAAATCTATTTACATGAGTATCGTCAATATTGAGGCAGTAATAGCGAAGAGATTCTTTACTACTAACAAATGCTATAATCGACGTTTAATATCAGTTTCTCCTCGGTTATCATCCGTGTGCTATAATTTTTTAAATTTCCCTTGCAAAAATACCCTAGGAACAGAAAGATTTTCCTTTTTATTGACAGTTTGTCGGTATACATATTCGCACGTTACGACTTCGAATCCCTCGCCGATGAACAGTTTACGAGTTGCCTCTGGAATAAAAAATTAGTTTATGAATCACGGCAAAATACTATAATACGAATAAATTGTAAATCATCCTTTTTACATTTTATTTATAACTGAAGTAGTGTCGAATATGCTGAATCAATCGAGATTCAATTTAAAACTTTGGTTCCCATCATCATTACAGTAATGTGTATGAAAAGCATATCATCACTGTTGCTAATCTTTACCTTCAGAAAAAAAGTAAGCCATCGTACCATCTTGCCTGACGTAAAAGTTGTCATCTATTTTATGTCCACGAGAGAATCTTAGCATAGCGTGATCATAAATTCCGTAATCGCGAAATAGCAAAGTTCCCCCAGTTGCCATGACCTGTACAAGTTTATATTATATATATAGGTTATATACATTATGACTATATTGACGCCGACTTAAATAGTATAGTATCTAGGAATTAACGCTACAGTAGAGCTTCGATGTAAGTTAGTAGTGAGTAGATTCTACAAGATCGACTTAAGAAATTACTTAAATATAAATTATAACTCATTTTTAAAGTTTAAATAGTTATGTTGAAGTATTGTATGTACTGTACTCATTTCATTCTTAGAAGAACAATACCTTGCCGATATTAGCAATAGCTGCACTCATTTTTTGTGGTGTAATAGCTGACAAGACAAAAATCAATGTAGCGATATTGATAGTAGCAGCTGGAATTGACAGCGTCAAATCATCGCAAGTGATGTCGCATACAAAGGCATGGCATTTTGCTTCATCATACAATCTATTGCTCTGATAAAGATAGTAAGTCGAAATTGTTTTTCATCATAATAAATATACGGGTATGTCAAGAGCCATTTAGTTACCGTTAGTATACCGGTACTGAGCAACTTAATAGAGGATATCAATGCAATTATTTCTCAATTGCAATTGTTTGTTAACTGTAGCAAAATTGGACACTAAAATAGTTCACTTACCTTTACAAAATCAATTGCCCGAGGTGAGAAATCGCAAGCGTAAATATAGAGTTGGCATCCTTCTTCAATCAAAGGAAAAACAGCATTACCAACGCCACAACCTACTTCCAGCATGTAACGTTTGGAGCTTACATTGCTGTTTTTATTATCCTATAACATTTAAGATTATTGTAAGAGTGTGGTTACTGGGAAAATGATTGAATGATTAGTTCGTACTATCTCCGAGTACAGAGGTCGTAATTTTAAAGATGCTTGCATACTACAGTACATCTTTATACTAGTAGATAACAGATGTTGCATCAACTTCATATTAATCAGACTGCTAAAAAGATTTGTATTTTAATGAAATTCTGCAGCTATCCAATGTGTTGCACGTTTTGCAAAATTTTGCGCCAATTAAAATAGCATGATCTTGATTGAATCTGCTTGTGTGTGTATACTCGCATGTAGGTGTATTATTTAAGATCTGATTGACAGTTGATCAAAGTACGGCGAGTTCAATTAGTTCATACCTCGGAGCAGAGTTCTTTAAATTCTCGAGTTGTCCAGTGCCTATCTTTAAAAAATTTTGTAGTATTTCTTTTGTAAAAGAGATCCCAATTTTTTTTAGCTTCTTTTTCTAATTTTTGTCGTTTGAAAGGTGTCAATAAGACGGTATCCATTGCTAATTGACTGCTCTCTTCTTCAGTTAATTCCCTAACATTATGGGTCGTCAATTGCACATCGTCGTCCATCATCACGACAATGATTATGTGTTTCTTATAATTATTGGTAATACAATATTACGATTATCACACACAGTTTAGCATAACAGCGCCCACTTGGATCAAATTACAAGAATCTCGTTGTCCAGTAATTAACCTTGTCGATTAATAGCACGGAATGCAGTCGAGCTAGCAATGAGAGCTGCTTGAAAATTGCTTGCAAATAAATATCCAGTAGTCGTCTTTTTAATGGTGAAGCGTTTGCTTCCTACGATACAAATGATCGTCTACTGAGAGCACGGTAGAATCCTCAAGGAATTGAGTAGATAAAAGAATCATAGAATGGGTAAGATATCTATTGCTTTATATTACATCTATCCACTTTTGCTAGGAGGTAGAATCGAAGTTATTTCCTATCAATAACACAGCTCACTAGCAGCCAACTTGAAATGCATCCATTGCTGTCGATGGCCAAGATGGACGGACATTCATCAAGCTGCGTGCTGTTGCCAGGATTCGGAATCAATGGGAGTACAGACGGTATCACGTGCCCTATGATTGCTATAATTTCTTTGTCAACCACGGTCAGGTCTAGAGACCGTTATAGAGACCCTTAGAGGGTGGGTCTCTAGTCAGTCAGGTCCAATCTGAAAAATGGGGAGGGGAGTTGCTGAAATTTGAATGGTAAAAGAGAGTTTAGTGCTTGAAAGGAAAGTCGCAAAGCTGCCTAATATATGCAACCCGATTACCTGGTTGTGCTCTCACTTTATTGGATTCATGATTTTAGAATCTACAGCTTTAGTTCCACTTTATTTCATATTTCAACTGCCTTTATATGCTCATCCGATTATAGGATTATTAATGCATGATATGACGAGAACAGATACATCTGTACCGACCGTAGCGGTATACAGTACTACAGTATGGTGTACATGGCGCAATTTGAAGACTTTGCCCTTGTTGCAAGTATATCCATTACGTTTTGTAGAATTCTGAGACTAGAAATGAGCTATTAAACACGGAAAATAGTAGAGTACCCTACTGTCAAAATAGTTTGTTTTTCACGCAATGTTTGACTTAAGCTTTTCTTGGCACCCAGTGTACAGTAGTCAGGTATACACTTGGACAGGACGACGTATTGCATTCAATGGATATGATTTGATGATTGATATTCATCGCCTTGATATTCTGAGCTATTTATGTGTCACTATGTTAAGCAACTTTAAACAACTGCATCAGACTAGCGTAATAACAGACAAGATATACGTTGTAGTCCAATTGTAGATTAAGAATGTACGTCAATGTTGTAGAAAGCTGGCAGACAGTCTCTGAAGCTCCCTAAATGTAATTTCTATGCGCGTTATTGATTGATAAACTAAACTTTGGTGCGTCGTTGACAATTTCATCCAATATTATACACTACTGTACGTATGTTGAATTGATAGAATGGCAGAGCAGCGCGATAAATCCGTATGTGCAACACTATCTACTATTAAGGGTAGAATTGTAAACTATAAGCGAATAGAAATATATATTTATGCAACTAGATCCATACGTATCGACGTAGAACTATCTCATGCAATGGATGACAAGGCTTGAACCTAGATTGAAATGTCATCAATTTAGATCATAACCTACGTCAAGTATACGCTAATACAGTAGTAACAACTGTATTGGCTATAGAGTAAAAAAAAAAAATCAAAATCAAAAATGAGACAACTATATTCTCTGCATCATTTGATGAAGGGAGACTTTCCAACGTACCCCTGCACTATGTACAAGTCCAATTTATGTTTTACTTATTTATTTTACAGACTATAAAAATAGAGAAATTCGTGCAAGCAATAATATCTAATATCTATAGCCGTAACATGGAATCCTACATCTTATTCAGTCATTATAGTTTCTTCATAACGTGCTATCGTCGTATGCATGATAGTATACTTAAATTCAGGTCATCGAAATAACAAGGGAGATTCGAAAGCGGAACAGAACGGACTGATAGTTTCATCACAGAATAAGCATACTTATATGTAGTCAATATTTGTACGACACAGCATCATGCTATAAATGACTAGTCTTGATTGAACTCTCATACAATCACCATCGCCTTTAAAATAGTTGTATCACTCACTATCCACTATCTTGAGCAATGCAACTGTCGTAAAGTTACCTACTACTTCGGACTACCGTCATCAATAAGACATCGAGCAGCTCAAGTGTTTAACAAGCGTACAATAAGATCCAAGCTGGTAGACAGCTTGGCAAGTTTTAGCATTTTGACTTCTATTCATTCTATTGATTGAAAAACACCGCTTTTAAGCGTACACTGTCAACGATTTGGATATACTCGCATTAATGAGAAGATTGTGGAATAGTGGACGAATTATTCGTATGGGTAATATCTTCAGTGATTCTAATGTAGAATTATGAATTGGAAATAAACGTTTAAAATAGTTGTATTACTATCCGCTATCTTGAGCAATACTAACAACTGTAGTAAAGTTACCTACTACTTCGGACTACCGTCATCAATAAGACATATCGAGTAGCTCAAGTGTTTAACAAGCGTACTATAAGATCCAAGCTGGTAGACAGCTTGGTAAGTTCTATCATCTTGACTTCTACTCACTCTGTTGATTGAAAAACACCGCTTTTAAACGTGCACGGTCTACGAATTGGATATACTCACATTAATGAGAAGATTGTGGAATAGTGGATGAATTATTCGTATGTGGCAATATCTACAGTTATTCTAATGTAGAATTATGAATTAGAAATAAACGTATTTAGGTCATACTTGCACAATGTAGAAACAGGCTACAGCATGAAAGACTAGCCTTCAATCTCGATTAAATTCTTATAAAATTGCTACCGTAGTTGAAGGCTTTCCAAGTCACTTTATTGAGCTACTGTAATACTAAAATGATGTACAAACAATAGGCACGTAAATCAATACCCAAGTAAAATGGCGATAATCCAGAATTTTACGTCTGCGATATTTAGACGTGCGGGTTAAATTTATCTTAGCGTCTTTTTGGTAAGGGTATGATCATGACTGCTATTACCATGAAAAATGATAAGCTTTACTCTATACGATTACAACAAAAATGGGTGGAAAATCATTGGAAAATATCCTGATATTACACTTGGAAATCTCAAATGACTTCCCACACACCCTGTACATTGAAGATTTGTGCTACCCTTGATTCGCTTTTCAGACGGGTCACGTAGTCAAATTTGGCGTAAAAGCTGTCCATCTGTACTCTTATTCACTTAATTGATTGAAAAGCGATGATTGTTATACATGCAGAGTTTACAATACTAATGTCTATGAACCAACCCTTCACACCTATGAATTATAATTCTAGCATTACAGAATGGTGGATCAATTCACGGGTCTGGCCATATCCACAATGTAAAGTAAAGGTGGGATTTGCAAATGAATACGGCACACGCTGCAACGTGTTCTCAATGGCTAGCGAGTTTTGATCCAATTCACACGTAAAATCACATCATCATCAATTCCACGGTATACTATTTTAGTCAATCCATCATTATCCGTAATACCCTTTCAACTCCATAGAATCATAAAGTTAAATAAATATATTGTACATCAACAATTTTAATCGAATTAATTTTATATTTATCTTATTCTACTCTATTAAAACGAGCGTTTAGAATAGTATCGAAGGTATAATTGCACTAGATTGGTATCTACAGCTATTAAATTAAATTAATGAATGAATTATCCCAGTAATTTGCTGTTTCTCCATCAAAGCTGACATTGTGCGGTGGTGATCGGCTGCGATATTCTACTGTATCCAAGATACTATCAAGGGCAATCTAGATTATTGTCAACGGTACTATTAAAGTGCTGTTAATTAATACTGTATGTCCTTGTTTGTCTTTTACTCGTTAATGTCGATACTGTAGAGTGGATTTTATTCCATCTTTATTTTGGGTAGGAGGGGCGGGGGCAACTTGATATCTCAGATTGTAGGATGGAATATCTTAAACGATAAAATTTACTTACTGGAGCAACGCAAACAGCATCAATTTGATTCCAGTAATAGGCATTTGGTAGTAAATTATAATACTGTGAGGCATCCATCGTCAAATTTCATCGATCTTGCATTATGGTTCTGTATCATAAACTCGTCTAGGCAGCATTACTGTTAATATCTGTGGGCCAATGTCGGTCATGATATCGATCTTGCATTATGGTTCTGTATCATAAACTCGTCTAGGTAGCATTACTGATGATATCTGTGGGCCAATATCGGTCATGATCTGTTATCTTAGTCAGGTGCACTAACCCTATTAAAAGATGCAATTTTATCCCTACAACTCTAGTATGTTTTCTACCCAGATACAAGATGGGACATCGAGACAGAAGCATACCACTCCTCCATTTTGAACGAGTTCAAGTTGACTTTGGATGACCTTTCCACTCTACAGTCTACACGAGTACTTTAGAGTGTACACTGGAGGGTTTTTCTCTTACGACTAGAACTATTATTATAGTCGACTCTTCCTATTAATTGATTAAGCAGACAAATGATGAATTTATCTGTAATTTTTTCAATTTTAGCAGCTTTGCCAATGATATTATAACAAAGCCGTCAACCATCTGCTGCCTAGAAGAGCTCTTGGTAGACTGTCTACTCCTATAGTCCGGGACTAGTCACTGCATTTAGACCACGCTGGTTCATTAATAAGACATGAAAAAATCGCAGAGCTTGTGCCTAAGGCTCACACTGATTATTTTTACTGTAATTTTACCTCGTTTTTCTCTTCTTTTGCAAATTGCAAGGGGATATTTTAGGTTCGGTTAGACAAGGACTACTAGAAGAAGACGACCAGGTAGGCAGGGCAAACCCATACGTTTGCCCTGCCTACTACAGTACTACCTGGTTCGTTACAATACTACGTCGATGTGTATACTGTAGTACTGTACTAAACACTGGTACAGTATAGCACAGTACAGTACAATTCAGCAACACCGCCAGCGTACTAAATAATATTGT